AGCTTTGTAAAAATCGACGCGTTTCAGAAAGGCGGGGCATAGAGGAGAAACAATAATGTACAGTATGTGGAAAATAATGTGTTTTTTTAACCTTAAACCGCATAAACACATTTCATTACACCAAATACACAAAATAATGTTCTTTTTAGCAACATCGTATGACCCCTTTAATGCAATCTAGTCTTATTGGGAATAATTTGTGAGTGAAAGTTATTTTAAAAATATATAAAAATAATATAATTTGTTTTCGTAATATTTCTCCAATAGCCAAATATTTGTATAGGCACTGTTTAGGCTGTTGTTGTGGGTAATGTAGCCTTTCTAAGATCTTTTTAATAGCTAACAGTTATTTAATGCCATATCTCAATATATTAAAACCCCAAAACTGACTAAATTTAATTTTACCTGTATTGACCTCACTTTAGTTTCCTGGGGTTTGTCTTTTTGGAAAAACTATAGGAGAATAAATTGCCAGACTGTAAATGATAGCTGAAATCACTGTGATATAATTGACTTTACACTACTGTACAGAAGTTTTTTTGTTTTTTTGATAAATGAATACTTTCAGCAAGGATGTATTAAATTTATCATATGGGACAGTAAAGACATTTATAATGTTACAAAAGATTTCTATTTCAAATAAATGCTTTTTTTTCACTTTCTATTTATCAAAATATCCTGAAAAAATTGAATAATAAGAATAATTATTATTGCTGATAATAAGAAATATTGCTTGAGCCACAAATTACCATAATGATTTCTGAAGGATCATGTGACATGTTTGTGAAATTCAGCTTTGCATCTATCATTTTGCAAATAGAAAACTGTTACTTTAAGTTGTAAAAAATATTTCACAATATTAAAGTTTTTATTGCATTTTTGATCAAATAAATGCGGCCTTGATGTGCAAAAGAGACTTCATTCAAGACTTCAACTTTTACCGCCCCCATACTTTTGCATGTTATATGTTATATGTGACAAGAGCAGGTCTAAATAAAAAAAAAAAACAAGTGTTCCTTTTAAGAGAAAGTAAATCAGTTGATTTCTGTCTGCAGCATACAAATGCTGTCTAATGTGTATAATCTATCATCTGATACAGTTGCTGTTAGGATTAGAGCCCTGCACTTGGTGTGTGATTCCTCCTGGGACCTGAAGGATGAATTGTGGTCTTCAGTAAAACAGACACTCCCCTTCTCCTCTCATGAAGACACTGTGAACACTCGGTGTGCTGTCCTGCACTCTGTCCTGCAGCAGAGACAAACATTCAAACACCTGGGCCAAGCGCAGCTTTACCTTTGGTGAGGATTTTAAACAGATATTGGGGCGCAAAAGTTATAAAAGTAACTCAAACTTTTTTCCATTTATAGGACTCAGGAAGATCTACTTGCTCTGATTGATGCACATCACCGCATAACCAAACACTGTAGTGACCCTACCGGAGCATTGGAGTACATAGCAGGTGCAGCTGGGACATGAAATGCTTTAAATGCATCTCTCCGGTTCAGTATGAACTTGATGATGTTGGTTGATCTGCTCTCTCAACAGGTCGCCTGGTTTATGGGAGCCACGTGTCAGACCATGAAGATCTAGCAGCTGTGCAGAGTGTGATTAGGGCATGTCTAAGAGATCCGTCAACATTATGGGGGCGTGGCAAAGACATTCTCTCAAATATCCTTAACTTTACAGGAAGATTTGGTATGCAAACACGCTCTATCACTTAAATTTCCATGATAAACTATAATTATATAATAGTAAAGTTTATTTTATATATATATATATATATATATATATATATAATATTATTTTCTGTTTAAAAATATTTATTGGGTTTGTGTTCAGTTTGGAAAGTTTTCCTCTGTTTCAGCTTGTGATGGACATACAAAGAGGCAGGGAATACTGTGAAATAATGCACTACAGTGGATTTAAACGCTGTCCTCTTGTGTATGAAATTTGGTCCATTAGTCAGGAGGAGTAAGTGCATGTATTCAGACGCATTATGATAGTGCTATCATGCTTTTAACAATGCTTTAATACACCAAAGATATCAGTACGGTCCTCTTTGGATTTTAAGGAGTTTAGACGTTGTGACGGTGATCTCACACATTGACACTGAAGTATTTTTGGCTGTAAATCAAGGGCTTTTGAGGGGTTTTGCCTTCTGCCACAATAAGAGGAACAACCTGATTTTTCTTTTTAAAGTACTTATTAGTAAGGCAAAGTCATGTTGTATCCTCTCATTTTCACTTTCCTATTCTGGTCTTTTGATAGCTGATTGGCCAGCGGAATGAGTTTCCTAAATGGACAACAGTGGCTGTTTCTCTTGCAATATATAAAGAATAAACATTGACTGGCTGATAGCTGTCGCTGAAAGGCCAAGCGTTTTTGAATTGACCTTTTCATTCACTCTTAATTTCCCCCGTAGAGGCTGATTGAGCAGGATCTGTTTATTGGCTGTCTCATCTTTGATGAGATGGAGAGGGAGTGAAAATGTTTACCCGATGGGTCGTTGTCCCGCTGACACAAATGGGCCGGAGAGTTTGCACTGCTGGTGAAAAACGGCCAGTGGCTATGTGCACGTCTTCCTGGGATAGAAGAGCTCTTAAATGAGTCATTATGCTCCAGACTATTTATTATTGAAATAACCAGGAACTTTTTTTCCAAAAGGAACGAAGAGGTTTTATTGCAGTACTCTTGAGTGATTCAAAATGCGAAACAGCAGAGCTAAAGGTTGCACTGATAAGTTAACCCTAAGTATTAAAGTTCAGCACGTAAACGTTTTATGTTGCGATCATAAAATATTTAGAAAAAATAAAATATACACACACAGAAATCTATCTAAATATATATATACATATATATTTATTCGAAAACTAAATGTTTACAAACTTAACAACATTACATTTATATTTATATATAAATATTAATGTTAGTGTTTCCCCTGCCATTATATTGGCGGGGGTGGCCCCCCCCTTGAAGGTCAAGTTAATTTTATTTAATTTTATTTTCTCTATAGCACCAGATCACAAATTCACAACAGAAGTCATTTAAAGTTATCTTTCCTATAGAACAGGTCTATACCTTGTTCTTTTATTAAACAAACTAAATAGCCTTATATGTTATTTATCTTATTTACAGACGGTATGTCATTTCTGTCTCTACGTTACATGGCCGCGCTCTCTGCATCGCGCACAGCGGAGTTCCGCCCCGATGGGCACACACAAGTGAGCACACTCCCACTCCCACTAGTATTTGTGAATATTAAGCCGCAAAACGACTATTTAAATATGAATTCTGCGTGTCTCTGTGTTAATGAATGGCGCAGATGCGCGGTTTTGTGTAGTACTCGTACTGAAGCGCGCGTGACGCTTCCGGTGATATTAACATCTGCCATCTCACTAATGAGGACATAAATACATGAACAACATCTCCAGAACTGCTCTGAGAGTCACTTCATGAGCATTTGACCGTTTCATTTGAGTAAAACTATCATCATGTCATACACATCATGTCATCACAGAAATGTAAAGGTATTCACGGCAACCCGTCAAAATAAATGTTCGGTTTAACTTGAAGACATTGCGGCAGAAATATATTACTATTGTTCAGCAGAATGTACGTAATAGGCTGCTACTACTA